AAAATTTCAAAATCTAAAACTTATTATTACTAATAGCCTTCTTTTGTAATTGGATCTTGTGTTAATCCATAAATATGAATTATTTCTATTTTATTATGAAACACTATGGTGTTTACCTCAACTATGATAATCCGGGGTCCTCCCTCTCTGGGTACATTAGTCATATTTCTACCCAATCAAAATAAAGAGCGGGTTTTTAGTATACCCGATCCAGACTAAATGGACTGCGAACTGATCAAAGGCCATTAAATTTTTTTATCATATTTTATTATCACAATTCAATTCAAATTAGTAAATCTTTAATTGTTTGACGACATGGAATTATATATCGAGGATCTAATGCATGCGAAATTGATATTTGTTCCACCACTAAAAATGACTGTAAATTACAGTAATCCATTCAATAATTGTAATATACTTAGATTCGGCTTCGTTATAAGGTCGAAATTGAATAAAATGAAATGTGTTTATCCAAAGTGTACAAGAAAATTTATTATTATATTGTAAATTATTGATACTATCGGAGCTTGATTCTGAATCAGGAAGAGTAGTAAACTTTCATAACCACCACTAATGGTGTGATATTGTTCATTGAAATTTGTAGTCTTGTTAAATGTATGGTTTATTAATATTGTTTTAAGAACCAACCAAAAGAACAGTTTCATCCTTTTAACTTATTATAGTAAAAATTTCACAGTCAGGACCGCAGTCATGTAATTGAGCAGTTTTGCCGGACCATTAAATAACCTTAATAATAATAAATCAGTGGCATTTTTATTTTAAAATTTGGTAATTTTGTTTTGTAAACAAAAAAAAGTTTGTTAAAATTTTTTATTTAGTTATCAATTAATTATGGTAAGCGTAAAAAAAAAAAAAGCCAAGCAGTCTTTTTTATTTGTTTAACAATCATAAATGCACTAACTCTTTTTTACCTTGAATTTCGAGTATTTTATAAAATAAGATTCAATTAAAATCAGATTTTTTGATCTGCGTTTGAAGGGTTATTTTCCATTAACTTAAAATGTCAAAACGACAAATTGTCATATATCCCGCATATCTATCTAACTGTTTATTTTATTGTTTGTACTTATTAGGCTACCACTACGAAAGGGTCCCAAAA